CTATATAGTTTGACAGATTGTATCAGCCCCATTCTGAAATGAATTCGAAGAAAACTGTGCAATAGAAACTTATTTATTAGAATTTTCATAGCTGATCATTTTTTCAATATTTATTCTGATATTATGAAGGTCCTTGCAATGCGTTAATCAGTAAAGAAAGCTTTCTTGATAAACGCTCCAATGAGGAAAGTTGCAATGACAAAAGTTGCAATGACGAAAGCTCCAACGATGACAGTTTTAGTGATGAAAATTATGTTGAAGAAGCTTCCAGTGATGACAGTTGTAATGATGATAGCTCTACAGATTATGCTTCGAAGTATTTCTTATCTTAATTCCAATGATGATCGTTTATTTGAAAAGATGTTTCTTGATGAAGAATATGACATCCGGGATGATGTACATAGCGAAATTACAAAGTGAACTATATTCCACCGTTATTTATACCGTTAACTACATATAATTCAGTTGATAGAGGGGGTTAGGTTAAATGATAATCTCAATCTAAAACGTAAATTCTGAAATACAAAAAATTTGCAAACACTTCAAGTTTAGGAAGTCGTGCAGATGAAACTTTGTTACGTGAAAACAGAAAAACTGAACGACCAGCAAAGATGGGGGGGGGGCTTTTCTTCTCTTTGATGTTTACTTGTTTTAAGACAATTGGTTTGATTATACGTGTATTATTAAATCATCTATATGTTTTAACTTTCATCATAATGATTCTAGTGGGTGTGCGGGACTATGGAACAGTTCCTTCGCGCATGCAAGAAGATACCATATTATCATTTGGACTGGGTGCTTGAGAGTATTTTGAATTTCGTCAACGTCCGAAATCATCCACAACACCGTAGATCAAACTGCTATCGGATATCACCTGACTTTTTCAGGTTCATGAGACAATTGTTTATATTGTCCAACAAAGTGCGAAGATCATATCTACAATTAATTTCAAACACCGCACTGAATAAAACATTCTTTAGAAAGAGCATTGTTAGCATGCAACTTATTAGCTGTCGGCTTATTTCCAAAAACCAGCATTCGTCTAACAGGGTGAATTTTTGGAATTAATTTTGATCTTCAAAACTGTAATTGGCGTATCCTGACCGACCAAAAATTTTTTCAAAAATCAAGAATTTATTTAATGAAAATGAAAATTTTAAAGGATAAAGCGAAGATTTTAAAAGTTTTAAGGTTTTTTTCTAAGTTTTTTTTACGGTTTTATTTACAAAGCAGCTCAGCCCAACAATACCATACATTCATATATAACGGTGATTACTATCTACGAGATCAGCAGTTGCTAACGTACAAAGAGAGATTGACTCTGTTGTAGTTTTTGAAGCAGGCTATGTTTTGCTGACGTATCTCGTTTATTGCTGAAACTTTATCATTATGAACACAGACTTCGCAGAAAGTACATTCTTTATTTTCCAATGTGTTTACCCATGCTTGTATTTCAATTGTGTTTGTTGATGTTGGCATAATGAAACGTGTTTCTGCTTGAATATTTCAATTACCCATTTTCCCAGTATGACCAGAAGTACCAAAGACTTCTATTAATGTATATTGCCATAAAATAATATCCATCTTCGTCTGACAAAAATCAAACAATGATAAAAATTGTTTGCTTTTTGACACAAACTTGCAATCTTTAAACAATACCGATATTCTTTGTTTCGATACTTTTAACATGCTGCGCATGCATTCTTGCTTTCCAATGTAGTATATCCTCTGAGTATACTTGTACCTGTCGTGGAATACCAAAGAGAAATGCATTTTTTGGACCTATTTGCTGATGAATTGAAGTCACTGTACGATCAATCGACTAAATATCTTAACGACAGTTTTGATTGGCTTATAAAAAGACTTAAACAACTAAAACCGATCAAAACATTAGCTACAAATGAACTATTGTCATCTACGCGACCACCTGGAGAAGTCTTATCTCTAACGTTTTTCCAAAGAGCCAGAAAAGAAGCCAAGGTATCATTTGACGATGCGCCCCTGACCTCTGAAGAAAAAGTAACAGCAAGCAAGATCTGCATCACAAGCGCTATTCTTCAAAATTTAGACGACAGTGATTTAGCAACAACGAATTTCATGCGATTGCTTATGGAATTGAACTTGGTTTTAAAGAGAAGTGAATCCAAATTTTGCAGCTACTTAATGCAGGAAGAGGAAATACTTGATGCTGTTATAGATATCAATCTCAAATTGGCTAATTTCATGTTTAAGCACACAAAGAAAAGGATGCCTTTTATGGAATGGCCTATGATTGAATATGGTGAGCAGTTAATTCATACATTTTACTACAAGAAGATTGACGGAATCACGACTAGATCACTACTTTGGTACTCAATTTACTTGAGAAACAATATTGATCTCTTTAAGAAGAAAATCATCTTAACCAGTAAAGGAGAACTGGTCATTTATGCTGAGAAAAAACTACAAAAAATTGAAAATACAACCGAAAAGCTACAATTGTGGTGTAAAGAAAGTTTCTGCGTTGACGATTGGCAAGTCAAATGTATGGCGGTTGATAAAAATAACGTCATATATAGGATATCAGGTTATGGAGGTCGACATAATTGTTACTATAAGCTAATCCTTTTTTACAAGAAAGCATTATTCAAAGTTGTAGGTTAAAGTTTCTTTCAAAAAAGCAAATTATTAAAATTTTTCTTGCTATAAGACCAAATGACAGAATTGTCATTGCTACAGTAGAGAGCGGTCATCATGACGTTATGATATATGTGTGTAACAGTAAAGTTGATCGTGTTATGTTCCTCATTGCAAGAGATAAACGCAATCCTATTGAAGATGAAATTAAATGTTTGTCCATATCCCCTGATCAAAACATAGCCATTTTGGGCTATCATACTAATGGCTTCCGTCAATTTTACCGACTTATCACTTGCACCATGCGTGGAAATTTTGTCAGAGAAATGAGATTTCGGCCACATTTAAAGGAAATCAAATCATACAATTATGTATTTTACACTCCTGACAGCAATTGCATCTCAGGTTATGTGCTCAAACGTGGAGAATTAGTGATTGAGTCATTTCTTGTTGAAACTGGAAAATTTCAGTCATCGATTATTTTGAAGAATTCAAAAATTTTTGAAGATCCAGGTTGTCTTATTCACCATGTTAATGGAAAGCTTATTTTTGTGACAAAAGAAAGCATATTTTATATATTTAAAGGGTGCAATGGGCATGAAACCTTTGATGCGACATTGAAATTGAAGGAGATTTCTTATTTGAATAAAGGTAGGATCAAAGATAGGAATACATTAATATTCTCTATCTCATAGTTGGCCCATTAACTGAAATTTTATCGTTGATAATGTTTGAAATTCACTGCAATAGAATTCACAGCATGTTGTACACACCAGTGGCAGATACTGCAGAGGACACGCCCCAATTTGGGATAAATTTTATGCAACCAACCTTTAATGTTAGCACAACTTGGGGCAAACTGAAACAAATTTGTTTTAAAATATGTGTGTTTTATATTTTCCCATTGCTTGATTGCATTTGGTACATTTTCTGTATATTCTGCTGTTTTGTGCATTTCAGAAACCACGAATTTAAATACAGATTCGCCACCCCCCTCATTTTTCAACACGGTACCATCTGGTAAGTCATAACAATGCAAAAGTGCACAATTCAAAACAAAGGCATTTATATTTTCTGTGTTTAAATATTTCTCTAAAGTATTGGTGTCATGCAAAAATAGAAATCTGGAATACTTATGAGCGTTAGCAGAAAATTTAATGCTAAAATCAGAAATGTGCAAGGACATGTTGATTCGCCAATTGATTGATTTTATTATAGTAAGGGAGAAGAAAGTGGTGGTTTGTAGTTTATATTTATTTTAGGTAGTTATAAAAAATGTGTAGTTTAACTATACTTTTGTGTATTTCGTGTCCATTCATTGATTTTTTCTGGGGCATGTAAATTAAACTGTGCTGTACAGACATTCTATTGCTTGTTAGTGAATTTGTTTTAACCTGCTAAATTTGTCTGTTTAGATGAAGGCAGCGAAAATTTCGTTCGCAATGCACGTGAGTGAAATTAATTTGAGATGATTTTGCAAGCAATCTTTAACTCACCTTACGAATCTTATGACTTAGCTCGAAAGAAATCAATGATAAATTTTCGCTATTCATTTGATCTCCCTGGTGAGTAGGTAACAATCCATTTCTACGCACCATTTAAAAAGACGTGAAATATGATTTATTAATATTATGTACGTATATAAAGGTGTCCCAAAAAAGGAACCCACAAAGAATACATATGCATTAACTGAAATTTGCACGAGATTATTTAGTTTACAAAATCTAGTTGTTCCCACCTGCTTGATTCTTAGTCATACGCTAGTTTGTCCATGTTCGTTGCATGAAAAATGTGACTACGTTTTTGGGGATGAGATTATTCATTTAAAGTAGTTTGATTTACTAAGCTTTTGCTTAATAAATTTGAGATAAAGTGAATTATTTGAAACCAGGTGTATAGCTACATGTTTGTAGATGCAGATCGTCCAGGTTAGTAAACTCCCGAGAAAGACTGTTGGTGTTGATGTTACGTTGACTGACGTTTCGACAACATTAGAGGAAGTTATCTTCAAAGTCAAATTTGAGATGAAAATCAGTGTATGCAGTACTTTGTTTTTGTTTTAACTAATACTGTACAAACCCCATAAAATCCGAAGGGCGAAGTGCTCTTTTTTTAACTGTTGTGAAAAAAAATTAATTCATCGGTATTGCGTTTTTTGCCACAACATGTATAATGCATGTTATTAAGTAATATATATAGCTATTGTTATATTTTATTATATGATATTATTAATATATTATCATATAAATATAAGCTATATTATAGTTAATAGATAATTATCAGTATATATTTATATTTTGTTTTTTACGTTATGTGCAAAGATTATCAGTTTATATATATTCTATCTTGCATCAACCAGGATTATCTCAGGATGTACAGGATGAGCTACAAAAGACGAAATCTTTGTTTCCTCTCTATTCTAAGGACTGCTCCGAATTAGTTTTTACGTCTTCTGACCCGATTTTTATCGGTAAGTTAATCAAATGATGGGCATGTCTTCCATGCAGGATAGCTACATAACAGTAGAGAGATTTTTTCTTTATGCTTAGATCAAAACAAATCAAGGAACTTAAAAGCAACTAAATCTGAATCTGGTGAGAAATTATTTCAATTAGATTTTTCAAACCCGTTTTTGTCGCACTAAAAATTACATGCAGATTTTAGAGTTAATAACGATTGACTGTACTCTATTATTAGATAGCTTACCTTGTGAATTCAATAACAAAAAAACAGTTGGCCTTAATTTTTTTGCATGAATAATCAAGCTAACTGATGTATCAAAACATATTTTTTCCCGATTGTTGATTAGTTTACCAGTTCATTTTTGAGGGAATATGAAATACATATTGAGATAGCCAATTCATATCTCCATCTTTATTAAACTCTAAGAATTATAGAAGATATTTCAGCAGATTTTAAGGAGCAGTTAATTTTATATAGATTTTATTCTTTGATTTACAATTCTCTATTCTTTCATTGTTTGATCATATTTTTTTTATTTTCTGAAAGGCCCTCACCATCTGACAATCGACGAAATCTCCAATTATGAAAGTTTCAATGACGACATCTGTGATTCTGGCAGTTTTAGTGAAGACAGTTCTTGTGAAGAAACTTTAAATAATGACAGCTCTAATGGTTGTTGTTCAAGCGATGATATTTTTACTCTTTGGTCTTACTTTAATAATCTTAACTGCTCAGCTATACCCTCATTATCTTTGACCTGACCTCTTAAGCTTTTGTCTTGTCTCTTAAGCATCTAACATGTTTTTATCTCTGATATAATCATCCTCTACTTTCTAAAGCATGTCGCCATCTTTCTATACTGGTAAACGTAAAACGAATTATTAGCCTAAAAAAATGAACAAACAGGTTTCAAAAGTAAGTTTACAAAGCAATCAGGAAAAGAATTTTTTGCCATCTAAGCCAGCTCATCTTAATGTACTTAGGGTAATTGAACTGTTTTAAAATGCGCATTAAGTTTCTTTAAAATCCATTCTTTTTTTCGGATTATGACATGCTTATACGAGTAATAATCCCCCAAATATCAATTTTCCAACGTCCTCTAGTCACTCTTTTAGATGTTGGCAAGTTAATCACAACACAACGCCAACTGAAACTATAATTGACCTAATTTTAATAAGATGAAATTGCCATAGTTTTAAAACTAAAAGAGTTTATGAATTGTGTATCATTTAGAAGTAACGGAGAAAGGTTGGAAGAATGAGTCACAAGGGAAACTCTTAAAAGGGCTAGATGAGGAGCTAGAAGAGGTACGTGTGATGCAATTATTATGTTTTTGTCTTATTAATATCATTTTATATTTTGTGTCAAGACACACCGGATAAAGAGCTACCATGTTTTCGTTGACGGTACTTTTCATTTTGTCAAATGAATCTTTAACTTTGCAAGGCTCGCGCTTTGGGCAGTCGCCGTTTCCAATGTTTCCTTTCCATTTTTTTGTTGTTCTATTATTGTCCCTGTATATGTCAATATCACATGTAGGGTTTTAGATGCTTTAATTGAGTGGAAAAAGTTAGTAAATACGTTCTTCGAGATATGTTGATATAACTGAATAGCTTTTAAAAAAAATTAAAACATTTGAACAAATTAAATTTGTTGTGTCAGGGAGACTTGGGCTCTGAAACAGGTCATCTTTTATTTGTTTTTAAAAACCAAGCACAATTTGGTAAATAAACGGAAAAACTTAATTTCCTTAAGCACACGCAATATAAGGAAGTAAATTTTCTTAGAAAAAACAAGTAAATCGTTTTCGCTGTATTTTTTTACTTTCATACAGCAGTATTAAATTTATATTGTTGCTGGGTTTTCTTATTTGTTTGTCTGCAAACATCATAAACTATTTATTATTTTCTTTAATGAAGAAAATCATATGACCGTCCAGCCTTTTTTTGTAAGGAATATTTATATTTTTTATTAAGTTAGCCGGAAACAAAATCTACTATTTTAGCATATTTGAGTTAATTATCTAACTTCATTGAAGTTAAAGATCACACTTTCTAAGCGTATATTTAAACGTTAAGATGTTTGTCTTTGTGTGCTCCGTTATCTTACATTAAGTGAATGACGTTTTAACATTAAAATAACAATTTATTTTATGCAATTTAGGTAGTAGAAGGTCGATTTTATAAAAGACAGGCTTTATTGAAACGAGGTAAATATCAGACTATGTTTTCATTTATTTTAGCGTAGCACTTTTATAGAAAGAGTACGATTTATATCTCAGCTTGATAGTTATCTTAAAATATCGTTCAAACACTTACAAACCTGTTTATTCTAAAATATTATTCGTCAGCGACACCACCCGACTTCATGTCGTCTTCCTGTGTCCATATACCGTAATCTTCGGTTTTACTTTAATAGTCCTACCTTCTCAGCTATATACTTTTTACCGCTTGGCCTCATCTCTCAAGATTTTGGCTTGTTTCTTAAGCATCAAACATGTTTTTACCTCTGATATAGTCTTCCTCTACTTTTAAGAGAACGCTACCATCTTTTCTAGACTGGCCTCTACCTTCTTCATATTCTCACAACTTATCACAGGCTCCCAATGAAGTTGCTTTTTTAAGTCTTTTTTATTTCTCGATCAACAACCTTAGAGCAAATACTTTATGCACATCAAGCAATTCTGGTACCATACCATACTAATACTGACTAATAATAATTATGCTCGATATTCTTTTGCAGTTACTGCAACTCTTCACAAAAATTGTTCTATAGAGATTGGCTCTAACACACTTCAGTATTTTTCAGACATCATACTCTCCTGTATTGTATCAAACAAATGAACAAAAACTCAACAGTTCTTTTTGCCTACTTTCACAGGGATGTCCTTAGGACCGACTATCTGACCATTCTTACTTTTAATCAGGGCACTCCCAATTTTATGTTAACTCTTCTGTACTGTGTCTGCATTGTGTACACTGCGTCAACTAATGAATTTTAATGAGCGTATGTAGGCTGAGGTTTCAAAATCAAATTCGTGTACTCTACATGGAAGTCGATTTTAAGAATCCAACAGTCCTTCTCATGATTGTTTTCAAGTAACATCAACACCAACAATCCTTCTAAGGACTTTATCAACCTGGACAATCTACATCTATAAACATGTAACGATACTCCCGGTTGAAACTATTTACTTTAACAAAAACACTCATAAACATCTTTAGTTTTCAAATGGTTTTTGCTGTATTTTCTTTTCTTTAATGTAACAGTATCAAGTTTCGTGTTGTTGCTAATTTTTTTCAATTTTTTGTTTGCAAACATAACATATTTCTTATTTACTTTAATAGAGACCAGCATGCCACCTTTACAAGGTAAGAAATATTAATATTTTTTAACTAAAAATAACTGAAAAGCAAAATCTAGAATTTCAGCATAATTTGGTCAGCATAAAAATGAATTTTTAACAGAAACATCAAACAACCAAACGGTTTGAAAGCCTACTCCCATATAATGAGGTACTAAAATTGCACTGTTTCTGAATTATAATTTGAACGATAAAAGCTGGGTCATATGAGGTAGCTGTATATTGTAAACTTGTGCCTTAGTCACGCCATGTACGTAAGAAGATTAGGGGGTGTTCATATACACATGACATGCTGCATTAAGTTTCTTTGAAATCCATTGTTTTGTGCGGATTATAACTTGCATACATGAATATAGGTCCTCCTAATTATCGTTCATCTTACCTCCCATGAGTAACAATATCTTATTTGTTGGCTAGTTTATCAGCAACAAGGAGGTCAACTAAATCTCTATAGTTGAATTATTAACCTAAACTTTTCAAATAACAAATTGTATTGATATAAAAATAAACGATTTTGTGAATTGTGTAACATCTAGAAGCCTTGGGAAAAGGGTGGAAGGTGGAGCGGACAAGGCTATGGGATGAGCAACAAACAGATGTACGACAAGAGCTGCCAATGGAGCAACGGAAAGGTGTACGGCAAGAACTGCCCGAGGAGGAACGAGAAGATGTACGACAAAAGCTGCCACGGGAGGAACGAGAAGATGTATGGTATGAGGTACGGGAGGAGGAACGAGAAGATGTACGAAAACAGGAAACCATTAGTAAGTTAAATAGCAGACAGTTTTGTTAGCCTATTGAATTGCAAAAAATGCGGAAGTAACAAGTAGGAATTCGAGTAAAGGAAAAAAAGAATTAGAGACAATAAAGTTGATATCTCTTCCTTTGCCATGGAATATAGTGACACACATTTTTGTTGGAAGCAAATTACTTTACCTTTTTAGACCTAAATAAATTTTCCTTAGATTTCAAATTTCCTTATGATTTAATTCACTCACTTGTTATGTAATCTACTAGGTAAAATAATTGATGACAGAAAGTGCTATCGGGAGTCTACATTTGTTTATGTGACCCAGCAATGATCAACTAAGTGTAATTTTAAAAAAATATGTTCAAAATTACCTGTTATTGTCATGTCTTATCTATTGAAAATGAGTGAAATTTCTTGACCAATTGAGTGCAAAAGGATTTGAAGTATTTTAATTTTAATGATTGATTTTTTGCTAAGGAAACACGTGAGATATGCAAGCGAGATCATTTGCAAGGTAATTGTTGAAAACAATCTACGTGACAGTTAAAGACGAGTGTCAGGCGGTTATAGTTCCGTGTTTTTCAACACGCGATATGTTTTGCGTGTTTGTAGTACACGGAATCATTACCAGCTATAGATAATTTATAACAGAACACACTAAAAGCGCTTTAGCTATAGTCACAGCAAACTGCTGCTGCATGCATAAATTTTCTTTGACGACCTAATACTTTACAGTCAAAATTCTTTTTTCTGCTTGCGTTAGGCCCACACGGTGGTGGTTTTAACTATAATTTCTAGTCAATCAGGTCATGATTAGCGTTACCGCAACTCACGCCAACTTTCGTGGCAGCGATTAAAAAAAATAGTTATTTTCATAATGACAAAAACATGCGTAACATGTTGGTGAGATGAGATAATATCACTTGTTTGGCATTGATAAACATCGTAACTGATAGATTTGATTATTTGACTTATAATTTTCTATTCTTTCATCATTTCATCATTTTGTTGTGATTTTCTTAAAGGTCCTCACTATGTGACAACTAGTTAGGAGAGCTTATTTCATGATGAAACCTCCAGTGATGAAAGTTTCTATGAAGACAACTGTGATGATGACAGTTTTAGTGAAGGAAATTCTTGTGGAGAAACTT